CCTTGATTCGAGTACGGATCCTCTGCTTCTAGTAGTACGGGCCCATACTACCTTCCACATCTATCCGTACTTTCCTCAAGTACTGCCTTGACTCCACCAAGTCACTAATACTGCTAATAATCTATGCTACTCTCATCCTAGGCTTACCCTTGGGAGTTCTATGACTATACCCGATCCAGTCCTCAACTGCTGAAGGCCTCCTTGTGATGCCAATTAGCCATCACCTGAATACCATCACATACGGCGAGGCTCAGATAATCCTTCAAGTAAAAGACTCGTCCCTACAACGGTTAGACTCAGACAAAAGCTGCGCAATAGGGCTAAGTCTAGCACTATGAGATTATTCAACCCTGTTCACATGTGACGTGATGCATTCACCTAATGGCTAACTCCTATCACTTAGAGTCCCACAAAGCACAAAGCAAGCAGCATTCAGACATAGGAGACAACTCAAGCAATTCTATCCTCAAAATGGGAAATCGTACTAGCATACAATGCTAAGCTCATGTTATCAGGCGTAACCTAAACAACCTATCCTACTGCTGACTACTCAATGCTAACATGCAATTCTTATAAAGCTGAAACACATAAAGCAGACATATAAGGCATCCTCCTAGATCCCTAGTCCTATACTAGCACGCTGTTCTACTGAAACTAAAATTGAAACTCAACATTAACTAATACATATTGTTGTATGGGTAATTTGGGAGTACTTACTTGAGCTCGGCTGATCGCATGCACCATACCCTTTTTTCTTTTCAAAGTTCTTATCTTTCTAAAATTCCTTTTACTTTTCTAAAACTCTTTTCTTTAGAAAAACATTTTACCATTTCCTTAGTTTGAGTTCAGACACACCCGGAAGTGTGCCCAAATCCCTCAAACCAAGGCTTTGATACCAACTTGTAACATCCGAGAAATACGACCCAAAAATTTTGTTTTTAAATAATAATAAAAGTCATAACACTGAATGTCATATAATAAAACCATACTTCGGGTATCTCAAAGCCATAATAAAAATGTCATATCAAGAACTGTATCAAATCATATCTAAGTATCTGAACAAAACTCCCAGGAATAAAGCTGAAGTTGTGGTGTGTGCGATGCCATCAACCTGAGCCCTTCCCTTTACTTGCGGAAGTACCTGAAACCAAAACTGAAACTGTACGCACATAGCTTAGTGGGCTCCCCCAAACTACCACATACCATATAACAACATATAAACACATATTGGGCCTTGCCCACTGCATCGGACTGAAGTCCGGAACTAACCAGGGCCTTGCCCTCTGCATCGGATAGAAGTCCGGAAACTGCATCGAACCGAAGTCCAGAAGTCACTGGAACCTTGTCCCCTGCATCGGACCGAAGTCCGGAACGAACTGCATCGCACCGAAGTCCGGAACTGACTGAGTATAACATAGCATGGCATAAACATATCAACTAGCATGAACACATAAACTGCACACTGCATCAGGCCGTAGCCAGGAACACATAACACATAAATCCTGTCTGAGCCACGAAGGCATCAAACATACTAAAACTGCATCGGACCGAAGTCCGGAAACTACTACTAGCTAAACGGGTCGGCATTGTGGCCTTAGACCCGTTCCTACTGGAAGAAAACTCACCTCGTAAACTGGCTGGTAAATGAACGGCTCTGGAAACTGTCTGTTGCTGCTCCGGTATCTCCCCGGCTACAATTTCCATAACACATTGAATCAAATACTGATAACTATGCTGAGGGTAAAATGACTATTTTACCCCTAGTCAAAGTCAACCCTATTGGTTAAAGTCAACATACGGTTGACCTGACTCGTCGAGTTGGGTCACCAACTCGTTGAGTCCTCACCCTCACTTCTTTGCTTCTGATCGCTACTACTCGTCGAGTTTGGCATAGACTTGATGAGTTCCTCTTCTATGCTATCACCTAGTCGATCTGCATCCGACTCACCGAGTTGTATGAACAACTCGTCGAGTCCTCCTTCAACGTATGAACACTCTGGATGTGACTCGCCGAGTTGTATGAACAACTCGTCGAGTCTGATCTAGAGGTATGAAGACTGTCTTGGACTCGCGACTCGACTCGTCGAGTCCAAAGAATGATTCGCCGAGTCGCATGCATACAATTACTATTCAGATGATTCTGCTCAAAACCAATGCATCCAACTGATAGATCTGGGCTCCTAAGTCCTGGTTTGCAAGTAAAGGTTCCATTTTTACGTGCACATACACTCCTAAAGAGGTTTATAGGCTTAAAATGCATGAATAAGGCTAGATCTAGGGTTTATATGCAACAAGGTTCAATAAAGGTATTAAATCTGGGTTTTGGGACAGAAATATGATTAGATCTGAAAGCTATAACATTTACACAAGCTCCCATACTAGATTAAGCTCACAAATGGGCAAAAAGGTAACCTAAATGATATTCTTGAAGAAAAACAAGCAAAGAACAGAAAGAGTCTGATTAATAGCTCAAATGACTCTGAAATGGATGCAAGATCTTGTTCCCCTTCTTCTCCTTTGTATCTAGCCTTCCTCCTCTCTTCCAATCTTCATTCTTACACAAAAATGCCCAAAAACACTCAAGATAGGTTAGGGTATGGCTATGAAACGTTCTGAGGGTGAGGGAGGCCAGATTAGGTGCATAAGAGGGATTATATATGGTGCAAAACCCGTAGATCTAGGGTTTCTTCCAGGCTGGAGGACTTACCGAGTCCAGGATATGGACTCGTCGAGTCGCCCACTTACACATGCTGGAAATCCCGTCTCTACTCGACGAGTCGGGCAACAGACTCGTCGAGTCCCTCTTGAATACTTAGAAAAATAACCATTAAATAACATACCAGAACTGGATTCGTTACATCATTAAGGCAAGTAATGTTGAGCATTATTCTTAATTCCAAAACAAAAAAAAACACTCTCAAATGCTTAATGGAAACTTGGATATTTTAGAAGTATTGAAGTTCCAAACTCTAGAAAGCTATAAAAAAAAGTGAGTACTTATATTAGAGATAATGATATAGCTGGAGTTATCTCTTAGTATTTTATATTTCAATTTAGTGATTTATCTTTTCACATATATATTAATTTGTAATTGTATCCTATATATAATGAATACAGATCCTCTCCACGTTTTGTGTTGAGAGTTCTTAAACCTTATATGGTATCAACCAGATCTTGATCCTCTATCGCCGAGTTCCTTTCTTCTTGTCTCTCGTTTTCATGGTTGCTGGAGATGATCAATCCCCCCTCTCCCTAAACACCCTTCTCCATCTCCTTACTATTAAACTCTTTTCCTCCAACTATCTTCTTTGGAGAAATCAGATCCTCCCTTTACTATGCTTCCAGAAATTAACCGATCACATTGATGGGACCTCGCTTTCTCCTCCACACATTGTTACACCCGCTGCAGCAAGTGATGCTCCACCACCTGTACCAATCCCAAACCCAGATTTTGCTAAATGGCTAGAACATGATCAGAAATCTATTCTCGTCATTCAATCATCTCTTACTGAAGAAACAGTGGCTGAGGTTCTTGGTTTGTCGACAGCCATAGATATGTGGACTGCACTTGAAAAAGCTTATCATCATGATTCTATTGAGTGAATGCAAACTCTAAGTGAGTCTCTGTGATAATTAAAGAAAGGTACTTCCTTTGTATCTAAATTTGGTCGAAAATTCAAGTCTATTTGTGAGCAATTGGATATTCGGTAGATGACTATGATAAAAGCCATTGGTTCTTGTGTGGTCTTGGACCTTCTTTTGAGCATTTTTTCTATTTCCCAAAGGGCTGTTAAACCTTGTCCTTTATTCCAGTATTTGCTCTCTCAAGCAGAGGGACATGAATTATTTATTCAATCTATGTCGCCATCACCTCCTCCACAAGCTGCCTTTACTGCAACTCAAAATCGTAAAGGGTTTTCAAATGGTAGAGGTAATCATGGTAGATCTAACAGTGGTCGACACTCTAGATGTGGCTACAATGGTGGTAGGGGACGTGGACGTAGGTCTCCTCATTGCCAACTTTGTAGGAAAGATGGTCATTTTGCAACCCAATGCCCCAATCTTCATACATTTGCCACACGATCACCCACTGCTGATGCAAACTTGGCATCTGCTTTTTGTACCTCCTACTCTGATACATCTCTGGATTGGTATGTTGAATCCGGTGCTACTACTCACATGACTCCATCGACTTCCAATGTTCACGATGTTAAGTCTTATAATAGAGCTGATTTGGTTGGTTTCGGTAATGGTAACACTTTGCCTATCACTCACATTGGACATTCCTTTATTAGATGTTCTTGCCGTTCCTCATCATACCAAAAATTTGATTTCTATTAGAAAAATTACAAATGATCTACCTATTGATATCTTATTTTCAAAATCCTTCTTTTTACTTCAGAATCGTCTCACCAAGGAAATTCTAGCTCGAGGAAGGGTTAATCAAGGTCTTTACATTCTTGAACAAGGTCAATGAGCATTATTATCCAAGTTATCTAAATCTAGACTTCATGTAACACCCCATTTATTAAATAAATAAATAAACAAATTAATAAATGTATAATAGCCCTAAAATCTATAATTATATAGCAAGGTGTTGATTTCGAGGAGTTAACTAGCATAATTTAGAAGTTGGGGGTTAAAAGTGTAAGTTCTGGATTGGTTTTGTAAGTATTTATGAAGGCAGGGACTAAAAGGTATCTTCTAGGACTTCATTTGAAAAAAAATAAGGATAAGGGGATTTTGGGTAAATTAGGGATCGAATTTGAGAGGAATTATGGAAGCAGGGGTGTAATTGGTAAATATTGTACCTAAATTGTAATGGATTTTAATGATGATGGCTGAAAGGGTAAATTATGGGTCAGTTTCGAAAATATTTCTAAATGGAGGAACTATTTATGCCATTATGGGATTAAGTTTTGAGACCCGGGAATATAACTGTCATCACCCCCCGAAACCCTGGCCCTAAATGAAGCTACAGCCGCTATCTCTCTACCCTTATGTCTCCCACAGGCTACCACCCTCTTGCTTCTCTGACCACCGAGTCGCCGATTTACCATTCTATTGAAGGCGTGAGCCACCATGGCTAACCGTGGATGCCAGGAAGACTTTGCACCGCCGTATCTTCCTTGCTCTCAGACGCTGCCACCACTTCAGTCCTCGAACGTCGCGCATAGATAGGGAAGAACCACCGTGACCCTCTAGTTGCCGTCTTGGTGAGGCGATCGCCACCTGGTCGCTGCTACTTCGTCGTCATGGAGCCTCCTAGTGTCGCTGTCATACTCCTTTGTCGTTGTTGCTTCACTTCATCTTTTCTTCTCCCTCCGTTCTTCGAAGCGCCACCACTACAGTCAGGTCAGCCGCTGCCGCAGCCCGTACCCATTGAAGATAGAGCGATCGTCGGCACTAGCCTTTTGTCGCCGCCATTCATGCTGTCATTTCCGCTCTGACTACCGCCATCAACCCCCTTCAAGATCGATGAAGAGCTACTCGGTGGGTGTTTCTACACATGTGTGTGATGTAGTGTGTGGGTGAGAAACCCTTGGCCGGAATCTAAAAAGAAGTCACCATCACCACCGTGAGGTAGTGGTTGCCACCATGTACCACTGTCAACCACCAAAAGGGTGGTTGTGTGTGTGTGTGTTTAGTTTAGTGTGTGTGTGTGTGTGTTTAATTGGTTTTTTGTGTTGTATGTTGTAATTGGCAAATGAATAATCAAAAGAAACTCATAACCACCACCGTGAGATGGTGGCTTCCGCCTCCTACCGCCACCAGCCGCCGTATTGGGTGGCGGTGTGCTTAGTTGTGTTTGGATTGCTTTTGGAGTGCTTAGACACGATTGGACTAGAACCATAACCACCACCATGAGGTGGTGGCCACTGCCGTGAGCTGCCATTGACCACCATTACTCGAGGTGGTAGTGGGTGGTGCCCAACTAATGAAATCCTAGTGGGACTAATGAAACCCTAATGGGCCCAATGAAGCCCAAAGTGATCTAAAAGCTTAACCCTGTGACTAATGGGCTAATATATGGGTTTGGAAAACCCTAATGTCATGAAACCCTAATTTTGGGGTGTAACGTCATAAAATTTCCAACCAAAAATTTTCATTTTTACAACCATCAAAATATGAGTAATAAGTTTAGATTTCCATAGTAACAATGTAGTCACAACCGATTACATAACAAAAGATAACAAAATAGTTTCCCGAGTGTGTGTACGGTCACGCTGGCGCCTTCCCACGGTCCTCACTCGTACCTGAAACACATAAAGCAACAATTGTAAGCATAAAGCTTAGTGAGTTCCCAAAATACAACATACGCACATACGCCTTTCCAGGCCTTGACCTTCCGGTCCATGTGTCTCAGGGGACTTCCGTCCCGACTGGGTAAACCTTCCGGTCCTACCCACGTCAACCCTTACAGTCCATATGACCACGCCTTCCGGCCCATATCAAACATATCATACATGACACATATAGCAAATAACTTAACACGCATAAGGCATATATTTCATATCATATTCGACCTTCCGGTCACACAGTCAAAACCCTTCCGGGCACAGTATAGTGAGAAGACTCACCTCGTATGCCTCGCTAAGTCGCTAATCGTGAATCCTGGAATCACTCGGGCTCGAACCCTCGAGCTGCAATCCTCCTATGATATTATAAATCTATAATTATTACTTGTACCACTAAGGTGGACCATCCAAATCAAGTCAACACAGGTTGACCTGGTCAACAGTCTTTAGTCAATTTGGACCAGACTCGGCGAGTGCACAATAGTGACTCGGCGAGTCTACGCGTTTTTACCAACTCTCAAGAATTTTCCCTTTGACTCGTCGAGTACTCCCCCGACTCGACGAGTTCCACCTGGGCCTGAATCACAGGGCCACCGCGACTCAACTCGCCGAGTCGAAGGTCAACTCGGCGAGTCCCAACCTGACTCGGTCCACCTGTCAAAACCTTTCCAACTCTCTGCGACTCACTGAGTCGCCCACAACTCGGTCCGGTCTACACACAGGATGGTCTCAAGGACAATCTTCAAGCGACTCGTCGAGTCTGTTCTTCAGACTCGGCGAGTCCATGCCATGCACCAGCTAAAACTGGCTTTTGCGGTCAGATCCGTTCCATAAATACATAGATCTGGCCTTCCCAAGCTTATTTGTCACGTAAAGTCTCAGTCTTGGTTGCCATGCAATGCATACAAGGCTTATTTTGAAGAAACAACCTTTAATATGGCAAGTTTAACTTCTAACTCAAAAGGATGGACATAAAGCTTGTCATAAGGGGTCTCCTGGACCTGCTAAAGTCCAGATCTAGGTCCCATATCCCATGGGACCTCTCATACTTCTTATTCAAGCCAAGAAATGCAAGAAGAAACCCTAGATTTGGCACATCAACACAAAACACGAAGTTTGGCTCTGAAAATTACCTCAAGAAGACTCCCTTGATGAAATAGCAACAGATCTAAGCTCCCCAACACTTCAAGCTTGCTCCTCTCCCTCCTTTCCTTGCAAAATCCACAAAATGATGAACAAATGGCCTTCAAACACACTCACAAGGGCTTACAGACGTATGGAGGCTCTTAGGGTTCAAGGTGGCCGCAAATGAGGGCCATAAGGTCCTTTAAATAGGGCTTAGGACCGGGAAATTAGGGTTTCATTAAACAGCGCGGACTCGCCGAGTCCATCCCTTGGACTCGCCGAGTCCGGACGCGAACCCCCGCTAAAAACCGCGACCCGACTCGGCGAGTTCGACCACCAACTCGCCGAGTCCCCTCACAGAATGTCAAAATATAAGAAATGAAGATACCTGGGGATCCGGGCTGTTACAAATCTCCCCCACTAGAATAAGACTTCGCCCTCGAAGTCCCGCTTAGGCAAAAAGCTCCGGATGCTGCTCCCGCATCTCCCGTTCCGGCTCCCAGGTCATCTCTGATCCCTTCCGATGCTGCCACTGAACCAATACCAGGGGTACCTCCTTGTTTCTCAAAACCTTGATCTTCCGATCTTTGATGGCTACAGGTCTTTCAGCATAATTCAGACTTGCATCCACCTGAATATCCCCTAACGGAACCACCGCTGATTCGTCGGCTATACATTTCCGCAGTTGCGACACATGGAAAGTATCGTGAATCTGTCCCAACTCTGCTGGCAAGTCTAAACGGTAGGCTACCCGACCCACCCTTGCGATCACACGGAAAGGACCAATATATCGGGGCCCCAACTTGCCCCTCTTCCTGAACCGAATCACTCCTTTCCAAGGAGAGACCTTCAGGAGCACGAGATCACCCACTTGGAACTCAAGCTCGGACCGTCGCCTGTCTGCATAACTCTTCTGCCGGCTCTGAGCGGTCAACAACCTTTGCCTGACCATCTGAATTTGCTCGGTCGTCTGAAGCACGATCTCCGTGCTACCCATAACCTGCTGTCCCACCTCACCCCAACAGATGGGGGTGCGACACCTCCGCCCATACAACAGCTCAAAGGGCGGCATACCAATGCTCGAATGATGGCTGTTGTTATACGAGAACTCTGCTAAAGGTAGATAGGTGTCCCAGCCCCTCCGAAGTCCAACACACATGCCCGAAGCATGTCCTCGAGTGTCTGAATTGTCCGCTCACTCTGACCGTCTGTCTGAGGATGATATGCCGTACTGAAATGTAACCTAGTACCCAACTCTTCATGGAATTTCTTCCAGAACCTGGAAGTGAAACGCACGTCGCGGTCCGAAATAATCGAGATCGGCACCCCGTGCCGAGATACTACTTCCCTCACATATAACTCAGCCAACTTCTCCGCAGAAGAGCTCTCGCTAATGGCTAGAAAATGAGCGCTCTTTGTCAGCCGATCCACGATCACCCAAATCGCATCGACTCCTCTCGCAGTTCGCGGTAACTTGGTGATGAAATCCATAGAGATTTGTTCCCACTTCCATTCGGGAATCTCTAGCGGTTGCAGCTTGCCGTGCGGTCGCTGGTGTTCGGCCTTGACCTGCCGACAAGTCAAGCATCTCTCGACGAACCAAGCGACATCCCTTTTCATACATGGCCACCAGTACTCCTTCTTGAGATCCAAATACATTTTCGTAGCACCAGGATGAATCGAGAATTTCGATCGATGCGCTTCCTCCATCAAAATAGTGCGCGCACCGCCCACAAACGGCACCCAAATCCGCCCCTGAAAAGTCATAAGCCCTCGACCATCCGTAACAAATCCTGATACCTGACCTACAACCCGTTCCTTCTTCTGATGCTCCGGCTTCGCAGCCTCCACCTGAGCCCCTCGGATAATATCCAGAATCGGGGTCAAAACCGTCAACCTCATACAAATATCTCGGATCGGGGCGCTATCCGCCCTACGGCTCAATGCGTCGGCTACCACATTAGCCTTGCCCGGATGGTACAGGATCTCACAATCGTAATCCTTCACCACATCCAACCACCTCCTCTGTCGCATATTCAGATTTGGCTGATCCATCAAGTATTTCAAGCTCTTATGGTCCGTGTAAATCGTACACCGAACCCCGTACAAATAGTGTCGCCAGATCTTGAGGGCAAACACCACCGCCCCAATTCCAGGTCGTGCGTGGGATATCTCGACTCATGAGGCTTCAACTGCCTCGAAGCGTACGCTATCACATGACCCCTCTGCATAAGTACCGCCCCCAAACCCGATATAGAGGCATCGCAGTATACCACAAAATCCTCCATCCCTTCCGGGAGTGCAAGCACTGGAGCCTCGCACAATTTCTGACGAAGCGTCTCGAATGAAGACTGCTGCTCCGGTCCCCACGAAAACGTAACACCCTTCCGGGTCATCCTAGTAAGTGGCACAGCGATCTTGGAGAAATCCTTGATAAATCTGCGGTAATATCCAGCCAAACCTAGAAAACTCCTGATCTCGGTGGGCGATCTCGGCACCTCCCACCTCAACACCGCCTCAATCTTGGCCGGGTCGACCAATATCCCCTTCTGGTTCACAAGATGTCCGAGGAACTGGACCTCTCGTAACCAGAAATCACACTTGGAGAACTTGGCATACAGTCTTTCCGATCTCAAAACCCGAAGAATCTCCCGCAAATGTTCCTCATGCTGGTCCCTAGTCCTCGAATACACCAAAATATCATCGATGAATACGATCACCGACCGATCCAGCATCGGTCGGCACACCCGGTTCATGAGATCCATGAATGCGGCCGGGGCATTGGTGAGCCCAAAAGGCATCACCACAAACTCATAATGTCCATAACGAGTCCTGAAGGCAGTCTTTTGGATATCCTCCTCGCGAACCCTCATCTGATGATATCCCGACCTCAAGTCAATCTTGGAAAACCAAGATGCCCCCTGCAACTGATCGAACAGTCGTCGATCCTAGGTAACGGGTATCGGTTCTTAACCGTCAACTTGTTCAATTCCGATAATCGATACACATCCGATGTGAACCATCCT